CGGGTCAGTGGCTTGAACTGAGCTGCCGGCCGCTCATCACCGCGACCCTCACCGTTCGTGCTGGAAGTTGACATACACGAATGTGAAGTGCTGTAAGAAGAGACCCGTATCTTGCGGTCTAAGACAGTAGCTTTTTATTCCTCCACACTATAGGCGTGTAGGTACTTTTTTGCAGCGGGTGTAGAAGCTGTCAGCAAACATCTGAACTGATAAAAACTCGGTGCTCTTTTCTCTCTTACCAAAGCACCATGCTTCGACTGCCTGCTCTCCGCAAGACCTTGGCGGGGGTTGCCCAGTCCTCCAGAGTGTGTGGTAAGTGTCCCTAGTTTATGTGCGTGCTGTATATGGTGATACAGTTCATGCATGTGTAATTGAGCAAGTGAAGGGCGTGTGTGTGTACTTCGTTTGCAGCTCTGGAATTCTGTGTTGCACTGTTTCTAGAACTGGAATTCTATCAGTGCTGTATAACTGTAACATAAGGAGCATGGGGTCTGGTAGTTTGCATCTAGCACTAAATGAAAGTTTCTTTTTTTCTTTTTCCATGTCTCTTAGGGCGTACAACCGCTACAGCAGCCAGCAATCAAATAGAGGTGTTTGTGGATGGTCATCCTGTATTGGTGAACCCAGGAACCACAGTACTTCAGGTGTGGGGAGTGGCATGCTGACTTTTTTTGGACTCCCCATCTCACTTCTTGGCAGCATGTTCTTTATAGCAAAAAAAAAAAAACAACCCTTTGCATTGTTTTTCACAGTTCTTCAGGGGTGTTTTCATTGACTGGGATGCAGTTTCACATGACAGAAATCTTTTGGGCAGGTCAGTGTTTGGAAAAAAAGCATCTGCCATCATTGCCTGAAAGAAGATGCATGGAGCATGAATCCCAACTGAAGAAGCTTATGTAATGCAGTAACAGGCTCTGATAAATTCTGGTTGAAATTCTAGCTCTGAACTCTAGGTGACCTGGTAGTCTTTCAGAACCTGTTAATTTTGCATCTTGTTAAAGTGGTGTCTCAGGTAAATGAGGGATTGTCTCCTTTTGGTTATTAGTTCTGATTCAGAATGTTGATCCTTCAGTGCTTTTATTCCTCTTGGTGTGGGAAGAAGTGGAACCTGTATCTCCCAGCTCATACTCAGCATTGTTGCTTTTCAGGCAAAATGTCAAGCAGATCTTTTTCCAGTCTAACTTATTTTTAAGAAGTCATTAAATGGAGGCATAGTATATATAGTGAGTTAGAACATTACAGTACCTAGTGCTTTTTTCAAAATATAGCCCTTAATCTCTGGACGCAAGTTACTAATTTATTCAGGCATTAGAATGCCCCCAGCAGGAGTCTAGTGTAAAATTTTCTTAAGTGTTATTTTAATTAGTTTTTTAGTTTTGCTTACATGTGGTTATTTCTTGTAGAAATATCAGAAAAATTAGATCTTCTTAATTTTTTTTTCTTGAATTCAGTGGTATTTTTTCTGGCAGGCCTAGCTAGTGCTATAGCGTAGATCCCATCAGCTGTGGGGATTTTATGCAGGAAAGTCTGTCTTTATGTGCTCTCTGGAAATCTGTAATCTCTGTCCTATATCTTCTGCAGACATGTCATGACATAATGTTTTAATTTAGAGTTCTTCTGAAGTTGAAGATTGACTATTCTCCAGTGCCTTTATAGGGAGTATCTGTTTGTTGAATTCTCAGAAATTCTCATGCCCATTGTTGTTTTGTTTATATTTTTCAAATTTTCCTTTTATGCACTTTTTATAAAAAAAGAGTGCGTGCTCTCTTTAAAAAATTATTTTTATTGCTATTGTCCTATCTATTGTAGAGAATTTTCTCTATTCTTGGGGGAAAGAATGAAAGAGAGGTCAGTTCTCATTTCTTCAATCACTTTCAAATTTTGGAAAAATATAATTGTAATTGATAACCTGACATGTTTCTACTTGATCACAATTTTTTAATTTATGATCACTTCTTAAGAAGAAAGCTCAAATGCACTGTATTCCTGAGCAGTAACACTGTTATTCTTTGAAAAGCTGAATAACATTTTATGAGGTGGAACTGGGAGGTCTAACTAAGATTTAAATTTTTTTTTTGTTTCTTCATAGGCCTGTGAAAAGGCTGGAATTCAGATACCTCGTTTTTGTTACCATGATCGTCTCTCTGTTGCTGGAAACTGTAGGATGTGTCTTGTAGAAATAGAGAAAGCTCCAAAGGTAACGCATGTGTTTCATACGAATTGCAGTTTTCTGCTGTGCCTAGGGCCTAGTTTAAATCTTGTAAATAATTGTTTGTACTATCATTAGCACACAAATTGTTGTCATTCAGTTGCTCAAAGCAGTTTTTTCACTTCTCCCCACTGGACCATAGTGATTGCCTGTGGTCAAAGTCAGTTCTCAGGTTCTTATGGATTATCTTGCTCCCGAACATGAGCATGGGACAGCAGTGTGTTTTCAGTCAGATATATTTTTATGTCCTGTAATTCAGGCTTCAACTGCACATTTTCAGCTGATACTACACAAATAGTAAACTTCAGATACTGTATGAATTCAGCTGTAGGATTAGTGTCTGTAAGTTTGTTCTAGCTCAGCAGAGATTGAAATTACTTATTAGTTTATATTTTAATGCATTATGTACCATTGATGTCTGCTGTAAAGTAGTGGTTGACCTCAGGATTGAGCATTGTCTTCAGCAATATTAAGAAATCTGTGCAGATAGTTGAGGCATTCTTTTGGAGTTCAGTCTTGGATTACATGTTTATATCACACATAAAACTCTTTAGCTCACCTCAATTTGAATTGCATAGTTTTGAGCTTTACATCTCAGGAAATGTTGGGTTATCACTAAAGGTGAAATTCATGATGGTCTGTCTCATTATGTGATTTAAAAGTAGGAGCAGTTAGTTTTCTGAGCAGGAGTTCTTGTTAATCTTGTAATAATCTCGTGAATAATTTTATTCCAAGACTCTGTATAGGTTTTTTCCAAATTAATGTCTTGTAAATTATGCATACTGGGAACTTCAGTTCTGGAGGCTTTCCAGATCTCTGCTGAATCTGTTTGGTTTGCCTTATATCTATTACAACTGACTGTCTTCTTGCTATGACTACTTGAACGGGAACCTGAAAGTGTAAAATTTTCAACTTTAAAAATAAATAAATCATAACTAATTTAACCTTTTTATATAGCAGATTATTAGTGAGTATGGCTTCTAGTGACTTTATTGGTTAGATTTTCTTCTTCCTTTTCCTTGCAGATACCTTTTATTTCTACATCATGCTAAATTAATAAGATATGCCTATATAAGAATTTGGGGGGAGGGAGAGGTTGGGGTTTGTGCCCACACTGAGAAGAAATACGTTGTGTTCATGCTTGCCTTTTATGACGATTGCAGCCAGTTGCTGCTTGTGCCATGCCAGTTATGAAGGGCTGGAACATACTGACAAACTCTGAGAAGTCCAGGAAAGCAAGGTACCTTTTTTTAGCCTCCTGTAGCTGGGTAGTTGTACTATCTGCTAAATGATATATGGTTAACATTAGTTTCTGAACCCAACAGAGAGGGTGTAATGGAGTTCCTGCTGGCAAATCACCCATTGGACTGTCCTATCTGTGATCAAGGTGGAGAATGTGATCTACAGGTAGAACGTCTAATTAATTGTGTAGACTTATGCATTAATACTTGTCTTAGGTGAAACTGTGCTTTCCAGCAGCTTGCATATGTGTTTTCTGTTGTTTGTTCTAGGATCAATCAATGATGTTTGGCAGTGATAGGAGCAGATTTAGAGAGGGGAAACGTGCTGTGGAGGACAAGAACATTGGCCCATTAGTCAAAACAATCATGACTCGGTGTATACAGTGCACTCGATGTATCAGGTAATGTCCTTTATTTTTCACTGGAGAGAGTACTGAGCAGGCATATTTATGACAGTTTGTTACTCATGAAAGACACATCATGAGAGGCAGGCAATTTTTTTTAAAATTTATTTTCTGACTGTGCTTAAGGATTGTTTTTTTTTCTGGTAGGGACTGATAGCTGGTTTCCCAGAGCTACCAGACAGCTGTCATACAGGAAATAGAGAGAGATGGGCAAAACACAACAGTTAAATCAGAATTCCACAGGGTGGAACTGGTCCCATGATGTAGTGCCAGAATGGACTTTAAAACATTAAGGGATTTCCTCAGCAAGAGCCTCTTGTAGCTGTATTTATGCTGTTCTGTAGTCCTGAGTTTCAGTACCAGCTAACTTGAGCCAGATGGAAAGGAATACAATGTACTTGCTTAGTTCTAGAAAGAACTTGTTAGTTAGGACTAATCTTGGGACTCGGACTGTGAAATTCAATGAACACTGAACTGCTCTGGTTTTTGATTTAACTCCATCTGGTTTCTGTAGCCCCATCTGAATGAAGTTCTGCAGATGTATAGTCCTGCATGTGATGGCACTGACTAATGTATCTAAACAACTATTTTCTTCTCAGGTGTATGAACTAAGGCTAATGTTTTATCTTAAGAAGAAGAGATAAGGGTTGAAAAATGTGCTGTGTCGCTATTGTACATTCCAGATTTGTTTTTAATTCTTTTTGCATCTGCCAGGTTTGCTAGTGAGGTTGCAGGGGTAGATGACTTGGGAACAACCGGAAGAGGAAATGATATGCAAGTTGGTACTTACGTTGAAAAAATGTTCATGTCTGAGTTATCAGGAAATATTATTGATATCTGCCCAGTTGGTGCTCTTACCTCCAAGCCATATGCCTTTACTGCACGCCCATGGGAGACAAGGTATGTATCTTAACTCATACTGCAGGTGCAACTTTCTCTATTTCTATCATACACTCAATCTTAGAATATGTCCATCTGTGATACCAAGGGATTTCTCTTATTTTTATTCTCTGCGTTTTTGTTCTGACTTTCCATAGACTGAATCTAACCCAAATTCTGTTACAGACTCACAGCTCATTCAAGAAAAGGAAGAATGTTACAGTTTGTGGACTATTCTTCCCTTAATGTTACTATAAAATGTTTTGGGACTTGTAGGATGTGCTGATTGCTCAGTAAAAAAATGTGTATAAAGGAAATTCATTAACTCAGTAATTGTTGAGGATATTATTTAAAATACCTTGTGAATCTAAGCTCTTATATCTAAAACTAAACCTACAGCACTTCATTTTTTTTGTTTTTTGTTTGTTATGCAGTCTGTTGCTGCTTTTGTATAGAAAACTGAAAATGGTTTATTTGTTCTAAACAGGAAGGTAGAGTCAATTGATGTTCTTGATGCAGTTGGAAGTAACATTGTAGTGAGCACAAGGACTGGAGAAGTGATGAGAATTTTGCCAAGACTGCATGAAGATATCAACGAGGAATGGATATCTGACAAAACAAGGTGTGTGGGAAGGTTTTTGTACCCACGTGTGCAGAACTAGAAGTGTGGACAGTAGCGCTGACTCCTGTATTCCACTGTTAATATTGTACAGCTATAGTGAAGAATAATTGGTAAACCATGTTTTTAATAGTATAATTGAAGTTACAGAGTTTTCTGATATTTTCATTTTTGTAGCTTTTTTTACAGTAACTTTGTAATTTTAATCACAGATTTTTTTTGTTTGTTTTGTAGAAGGATAAGTTAAACTTTCAGGGTAAACTTGTGCTTCACTTTTCTAATTATTGCAGGCTGTTAGAAAACTCAGTCTTAGCAAATATTTAGTATACACAATTATCTTTGTCTTTTGCTCTTTAATAATTTTAGCGGTGTTCATTTAGGTTTGCTTATGATGGTCTGAAGCGCCAGAGACTTACTCAGCCAATGATCAAAAATGAGAAAGGACTGTTTGTTTATGTCTCATGGGAGGATGCTTTAACTCATGTTGCTGGTGTGGTAAGAATGATTCTCAATATATGCAGTGTAAAATTAATGCCTATAGCTGGACATATTAAGATTATTAATAGGAAAACAGTCATAAAGAAGAGGGATTTTTTGTTTAAGGTTAGAGGGGAGCATTTGACTTCTAAACAATTGTATTTCCACTTACATTTCTTCTTTTGAATATTATTTCATATTTCATGGACTAGACCATCTGAAGAACTTTGTCTTATCATGATTTCATTTGGGGCATTGGGAGAGAAATTACTTTTATTTAAATAGGAAACTAAACTGTTCCTTTAGAAATCTAGGAGGAAGCAACTTTCCTGAATTACTCTGATCTATCTGAAGACTTCTTTAAATTTATTTGAACTGTGCTGTCACCACTTTTGCCATCAAAGCCATTAGTTCTGTATTACTTATATTTGAATTGTGCTTGCCTCAGTGCTTTCTCTGTGCAGTGATTGATTCTGCTGCTCAAATGAAGTGCTGCACAATTGCTCTGGATTTTGATTAAAAATTTTATGTGGGATGAAGTAGAATTGAATAACTGTAATTGTACTTTCCTCAAGGATGTTTTTGCCCATGGTGCAGTAACAGGGTTTGTTACAAAAGCTATTGCTTCTCAGAAAATACCTTTAAGTTGAGTTTACTGCCTGAGCTTGTGTTATGGAGGTTTGTATTCTGTCTGCACTGTCGCTTCATTAAAATAAAAGCATTCATCAATCTTCCTCTCCTCACCACACCAAATGAGAATTAGCCGCATCTGAGCAATAACCCAAGTGGAAGAAACTTGCATAGAATACAGAGAGCTGTTCTTTGCTTATCATGAGTTCTGAAGCAGCTGGAGTTGCTTCCTTGCACGAGTTGGACACTGCTGATCAGTTTGTGCTACTCCAGGCTAGGAGATAGCACGGCTGGCTTTGGCACGTCCTAGTGTAACAAACATTTACCTGGGCCAAATGGGAATTTATTTCAATGCTTTTTTTGCTTATGTTTATACCTTCACTGTCTCCAGCTACAGGCTGTCAAAGGTAACGAAGTAGCAGCAATTGTAGGAGGACTGGTGGATGCAGAAGCGCTAATAGCTCTGAAGGACTTACTGAATAGAGTGAATAGCGATATGCTCTGCACTGAAGAGGTCTTCCCTACTGCCGGAGCTGGGTAAGAGTTCAGGCAATGCTGTAATTAGTATGTTAAACTTTCTGCTCTGCAAATCATCTCATGATAAGTTTCTGAAATTACTAAGGATAGCAGTTTCTGATGCCTTAGCAGGTTTTCTTTGAATTTACAATATTTATGCAGAGTGTTTATGGATTGGGAGATAAAATGTAGTCTCTACTACAGCAAGAGTTGCATGCTTCGCTGTATGTTGAGGCTGCTGCAGTTTAACAGTAGGCTACTGAAAGCCAGTTACACTCTGTTTTAAGTTGGATAATTTACTCTATTTGTGTTGCAAAAACTATAGTACAATTATGACCTTGTAAATTCTGTAATAGCAGATGAAATTTGTGAAGGCTGACAATAATTGTAAATGTAGGAAATACCCACACTGTAATTTGTTTAATGTTTTGCTGTCTCATACTTGCAAAAGAGAGAGGCTCTTTCTTTTATTTGTGTTAGTAATTTGGATTGAGAAATCTCTTCTTTTCCTTTTTCTTCCTGAGATAAAAAAAGTATTTTGAGCATCTAGAATCTTTACCACATCTTCCTTCCTTCTCTTTACTGAATTCTCATTCTCTTTCTTAAATGTTTTTGTTATAGCACAGATTTACGCTCCAACTACCTGCTTAATACCAAGATTGCTGGAGTGGAGGAGGCAGATGTCCTGCTTCTGGTTGGCACCAATCCACGCTTTGAGGCACCACTTTTTAATGCTAGAATTCGAAAGAGGTTTGTATTCCTTGGTGGTGAAAAAGCATGCACATCCATCTGGATTTGATACAATACTCGGGTGGAGCTGCAGGCAGTAAATTGATGGACTCGCTGGATTTAACTCACCTTTTAGTAAAGGGAATGGTGACATATGTGTAAAAAAAAGGATCTCTTCTCCCTATAGTGTATAGCTATGGTTTGTTCATTCTCGCTTTGACAATTTATGTAAGTCCATATACTCAGACACTTATTCCTTTGTTACATTACACAGACACCTCGGATATTCTGTCTTACAGAAATTTATTAAAGCATATTTCTTAAATAATTATTTTCAGCATCAGTTTGCTGCTTTTTGTATTGTTGTAATAATTAAACTTGCTGATTTTAGAAGTAGTCATTCAAGTTTAACATCTTCTTTGGCAAATAATATGGCTTTCCCAAACTTTTGAGTGTAGCTAACTCAACTTTAACAAGATATGTCAGCAGGAGACAACTGAGGTTAATAAAAGCCTTGTCCTTCCTAACGCTGGCATCTTCCAAAAGAGATAATTTTTAAAAATAGTGGCCTTAAAATTTTGAGAGGAAAAAATGCAATGAAAGTTATGAATGATTCATACGGTTTTTAATGTCTGTGCTATGAGAAGCTGCAAAAAAGGAAAAATTTCTAATGAGCTTAATTTTTCTGTGTTTGTTAAGAAATAAGTGTATTTCTAAAACTTAGAGCACTGTCAAATTCAGAATTATTTCCTCCTACAAATTACTTTAACTTCAATTCTGAAGTGACTAAAAGTTAAGTTAAGCTAAATAAACTCAATTGTAATTGCAGGTGTGGGGTTTTTTTTGTTTGGTTTGGTTTTGCCTAACACTGGAAAAGATGCTTTAAAGTTGCAGGACCTAATTTTGTGCAACCTTTTTTCCACTCTACTGGCCCAAGTTTGAGAGGACAAGGGGATTGAGTTATGAACTTCCTATGTGAGGTGTGTTGCTGCATTGGTCCCAGAATGTACATGGAGAAATAGTCCTTAGCTTGTTTAACAGTTAGAATAATGCTAAACTGCTTGTTACCAGAACAATGAATGCCATTTAAATTCCTTTGAAAGAATTCGCATCCTATTTCAAGTTACTGCTAAAATTATAATTTGTGGCATTGACTGAGTAAAAGTCTGTGTTTCTTTGATTTTTATAAAATGTTTCCTGTGTTTTCAGCTGGCTTCACAATGACTTGCAAGTGGCCCTTGTTGGCTCTCCTGTGAATTTGACCTACACATATAATCATCTAGGAGAGACCCCACAGATACTCCAGGACATTGCTTCTGGAAAACATGCATTCTCCAAGGTACGCACAACTTAAGAGTGCAACTGTTAAATTTCAGATGTATTGAATAATAATTTGAATTCTCCCCAGAGAGATTTGAAGAGAAGTACCATCTTGCACATGGGGTTATTTGCTTTTAGTCACATGTGGAGATGAGATAGTGATTAGTGTGCACCAAGTACATGTGAACTGTTTAATATATTTGGGCACATAGAACTTTGCAGTGCAGGAAACTCCTGAAATATTTATTGATATAAAACAGGCTATTTCAGCCACTGCTGTTCCCACTTAAGTGTCTGGTTATCAAGAATATCGTTCTGTGTGGAGAAGGTAGCATACTGCTTATAGCAGTTTCTCTTGGCTTTATCTCTAAATGAAGCAACGACCATTTCAGAACCATAGCTTTGCATTATGGGATTTGTTACATTATCTGCACCAAGAATGGTCTTCAGAGCCTTGGTATGAACTTCTTGGTTCTTTACTTGCACAGGTCCTCGACCAGGCCAAGAAGCCGATGGTGGTGGTAGGTAGTGCAGCACTGCAGCGCAGCGATGGAGCAGCTATCCATGCTGCTGTTTCCACCATTGCACAGAATGCCAGGACTAAGAGCGGTGTTGGTTCAGATTGGAAAGTCATGAACATTCTCCACAGGTTTGCTTTAAAACTTTTTTGGGAGCCACTTTCATTCATGCTGGGTCTACACAAGTTACCACAATGTATGTGTGCAGATTTCTGTGTGTGCACACAAGCAGCTTATTAGGTTAGGGAATATAAAAAATAGAAGTACTAACTAGTAAAATAAAAATGGGTTCCTTGACCTGGAAAACTTTTCGGGCTCTGCATGAGATTTTATTAATCTATTATATTTAAATGTAGAATTGAAAGTTTAAATTTAGAGGTATAGAATACAGGAGAGCTTAGTAACATACTACAGTGGTCAGTAGAATGTATAGCAAACCAGTGTCACTTGATAAATTATTGCTTTATATCTAGAGGAAGAAAAAAAAGTCAAGAGTATTGAAATAATGGGGTTTCTTATAATACTACTTTTACTTTTCAGTTTCTTAACTGAATAGTTAATAGAAAAGTTTCAAAGCTTTTCATTTTAGGGCTTTTGATCTTAGTTATTTGGTTTATCGAGATATTATTTGTTTTAATAGGCAAGCTTCTCTTCAGACAGTCCTTTTGTTCTAAAACTCCGTCTGTCAAATTGACAACTTGTGTAAAGGAAAAATAATTTCAACAAATGTAGTGGTGCTCAGATTGAAAGACTCAACAAAAGCAGCTTAATTGATGTAAATCTAGTATAGCAAGAGCGGGGCTTGGCCCTCTGAAGGAAACTGGAATATAAAATCCTGCTGTTCAAACTGAAACCGTTTGAAAACACTGATGAGTTTAAAGAACACTCGTGATACCTTTTTTTACATGTGGTTTGTCAGTCTCTCATATTATTGACTTTCATGCTTTTGGTGCCGCATCATCTCTACCTTAAGTTTAAACAGCAGCTTAACAACTTACTGGAACTTATATGTCTGACTATATCCGACAAACATGAGTAACATTGAAAGATCTGTGTTCTACAGAGAGGATATTTTTTTCTTTTAAATATAATTGTAAGTCTGGCACCTGATTTTCCAGGATTATGCAAAACTGTTTCTTTGGAAAAGAAAAAGACTGCCAGAAAATTAGAATTCTTATTTCTTTCTTTTAAAAGTATTTTTATATGTGAATAAACAAATAGTGATGAAATAGTGGTTTTAAGTCTTGGATGCTTCAGGGTAGCTGACGGTCCAGTAGCTGGTCTTTCATCTTCCATGTGAGTGCCCTAAATTAAAGGCCTATTGAGTTCAGTTCGTAGCTGAAGTATGGACCTTGATGTTCCAGATGACAAGTGAACTGCCTGCCAGTAGGCCCTGACCTGGAATGTCTACTTTTATTTTGCTCTTCCATCTTAAATAGGTGAGATTCCCTGTGAAAACTTCAAATGGCTTCAGTTTGTCAAAATGCAAAACCAGACTCATATTCTGTCAAATACTCTGTCAAAATTTTCACCTGCCTTTATGCTTCATTTTTGTCCTGTTACTGTTAGAGACCTCTTATGTCCCTCCAAAATGTTTAGTCAAAAAAAGAAGTGTGTTCTGATGGGAGAGGGAGAATTCTGAAATAACTTTTAAGTCGTAACATGTTTGTTCCTGCAGGGTTGCAAGCCAGGTAGCTGCTTTGGATCTGGGTTTCAAACCAGGAGTGGAGGCAATTAGGAAAAATCCTCCCAAAGCATTGTACCTCTTGGGAGCAGATTCAGGTTGTATAACACGTCAGGATTTGCCAAAGGACTGTTTTATCATCTATCAAGGTAATTAGTAGATGTAAATTAAGAAATGTTGCAATTTAATAGCTGTAGAGAAAACCTGAACAGTGGCATATTCTTATAAACGTATCCGACCCTTTGATAAATTTTAGCCTTTATTTTCTGCTAAGAAGTTGAACTTCTAACACTGAGGAACTGATTACCTATTTCTGAGGTAAAAATGAGAAACTGTTGATGAGTAATAAGGGGATATAAACCAGTGTGGTCTTCTGGAGCATAACTTCAAACCTGGAAGACAAAACAGTGTTGCTTCCTAGCTGTTCCATCATATCAAAACACGGTGTTCTCTTACTTCACTAAGCATCCTTGTTCCAGGAGACCCCCAATGATGTGTAGCTATAGAGACTCAACTACCATTTACTACTGCTTGTAGTCTGTTAATTTTCCCCAAAGTATTAGGCAAGTAAGACCTCAGAGCAGTCAGCCTAATAGGCTTTATATTACTGGTTAAGTGACAGTTAGAAACTCCTTTTTTCTGGGAACACAGAAATTCTGTCTTGTGTTAGTAAAGCATTTCTTTTTATTTTGACTTACCTATGTCTTACATGGTTGTATACTGTTTCCTCTTTCCATGTGTTTAGGACATCACGGGGATGTGGGAGCTCCAATGGCTGACATTATTCTGCCAGGAGCAGCATATACAGAGAAGGCAGCCACATACGTGAATACTGAGGGTAGGGCCCAGCAGACAAGAGTGGCAGTAACACCTCCCGGGATGGCACGGGAAGACTGGAAAATTATTAGAGCTGTCTCTGAGGTACTGTTGCTGTTACAAATTTCTTCTAATAAAAGTGTACTGAGAGGTTAAGTTCCTTTTATATTGAAAAGTGTTTCCAAAAAGAGGTACATTTTCAGCGTAATACATGACTGTAGTCTTAAGAAGTCGTGTTTTGTATTGAATCCTTTGTTAATTCTGTGAGTTAAATCATATTGTTTCCCTTTTAAGGAGAGCACTAATATTGTAGCTGCTGTATGCTATTGGAATGCATAATGGCTGAAGCTTTGTCTGCAAATTCTGCTGATGTTTATGAAGTGCTTTAGAGGAAACTAGTGGGAGGATGCAGTTGCTTGCCTTTGAGAAAGAAAACAGCATGAACTCTGAGGACAGGATCTGGTGTCCTTAGATAAGGTCAAATACATGCTTACTAGTCACTGGGAACAAGATGCACTGATAATTGCATCAATTTGATCACATTTGGTGGTAAGCTAGGGCAAGTACAAGTGACATCTGTATGGAAGGAGAAAAGTACTTTTTCTTTTTTTTTCCTTTGTGTAGCAAACAGGACAGCCTAGTTTTTCTAACTGGAGGCATCAGAAGTTAAAACAATACTGTGACTTTGCTTCAGTTTGTACGTTATAACTGCCTGTGTTTTCAGGAATGTAGATATTTTCTTGATTTACTTTAGGTATGTTAATGAATTGGTAGTCTAAACCACTATGTATTAAATCCCTAGACTTGATGGCATTTCTTTCTGTGAAATCTCTTAGTTGGCTGGTATGACCTTGCCTTATGAGAACCTTGATCAAATACGGAAGCGCTTAGAAGAAGTATCTCCTAATCTGGTTCGATATGATGATGTGGAAGAGGCTAACTACTTCAAGCAGGCAAATGAATTGTCACAGGTAACCAAAACTGAAGCATATGGATATGATTTACTGCTGTTACATAGCTTGGTGCTTTTTAAAGAAGGGGCCTGCTTCACGTGTAGTACTACAAGCATTCTTTGACCTGCACTGAATGCAGAGTTCACTGAACAAATGCTTTGGTAACAAGTTCCTATCATAAAGCTGACTTTTTTCTTTTTCCTTTCCTGACACAGTTAGTGAAGCAACAGCTGCTTGCTGATCCTCTTGTTCCACCTCAACTCACAATAAAAGACTTTTATATGACAGGTACGTATGGTATGGCCTTTCCATTCTGAAATCAGCAATGCATTTTACTTAGCTTTACAGTAAGATTCTCATGAAGCATTTAAACCTTTCCACTAAGATACGCAGGATTTGAGTCTTTTGAAGAAACAATTTTCCAGTAAAACAATTTGGCATTTGCTTAAAGCACAGCCTATTGGACTGTATTTTCAACTAAGGAATTTTCTTTACCGTCTTTGTATCCAGTCCCGTACTAAGTATCTTTTAAAATGTGTCTGTGTACAATTTTGAAAATGAACAGTTGTAACACACTGACGTGTTTGGATTTTTTTTTTCAGATTCTATCAGTAGAGCATCCCAGACAATGGCCAAGTGTGTGAAAGCTGTTGTTGAAGGTGCTCATGCAGTAGAAGAGCCAGCCAGCTGCTAGAGACTAATCAGACTGCTTACCACCTCCATCCAAGTATTTGTTGCAGTTAACTGCTGTGACTCTTTTTTTTTTTTTTTTTTTTCAAATCTATTTGCTAGGTTGTATTCTTCTTCATTCACATTTTCATCAGTTCAAATAGTCCCATAATACTATAGGATGATGTTGTGTCTGAGAGAACATGAAGCACTCAACTCATTGTACCCAGAGGGAGAGTACATGATGATTGTATACAAATAAATTATAGTACCAAAAAATCCATTACCTATGTAATTCCTATGTCTCACACTTCTTGCATGAAAATAATTCAGTAAGCAACTCAGTCTTGATTTGCTAGGAACAAGTTTACATGGGAAAAAATATTAGATTGTAACCTTCTTCCGGAGTATCCAAATATCTTAATTGTAAGCACTGGTGAGAGTGTGAACGTGCTACTTTTGTAATGCACTTACACAGCAAGTTGCCCCTCTTTTGAGTCAAGCATACCCGGCTTAAGTCAGTGTTCAGACCTACCACTCCTCTAGATATTTGTATGTTTCTCCATTTTGTTTCAGTTGAGAATCTACTCAGGGAGGAAATAAAAATGATTTTGTGAAAAAGAAAAGCAATTTTCACACAGCTTCCTCAGAGTGAGCCACTTTAAATATTTAGCAAAAAGATAAAGGTCTTTACCTACACCAGTTCAAATACAGAAAAGATCTGAGAGCAGTTTCTCTGTGCACCGATCTTTTTATAGCAAAGTGGGGGAAGGGGTGGTGTGGGGTGTGTTTTGGTTTTGTTTTTTTAAGCTTTAGAATGACTTAAGAACAGTGACTCTCTCCCCTATTATGTTGGTTAATGTAAGTTTGGAAGAACTTGCGTAGCTTCCTCTTCAACAGGCTACTAGGGTAATAAGGTTTAGAGTAATCCTTCCAGGAATCATGCAAATGGAACAGTATCATAAAGCCATCACTTCCAACTTTATTTAAAAAAAAAAAAATAAATTTTGCTTGAGGAAAAGGTCCATTTTCCAGTGTAGAGTAATACTGAGTCCATGGGAATGCTGCTATAGAAGCCTTAGCTTTATAGAATTTTTCTTCTTCCATGCTTGAAATTTTTCAGTAACAGCAAGTGATTTTTTTGAAAATTGATTTCCTTCTGCCCAGGAAGAAAACTTTTCCTGGTTATCCTGTCCTTACACTAGCTGACTAAGTCTAAATGTTGGACATTGTTTGACTCAGGCTGCCATCTTCCAGTTACCAACAGGGTCAGTTCTCTTGGTGCTATGAAATAAAGACAATTATTCACTTTATTCAGAGATACTACTATGTATATTAATTAGACTACAGTATTTCTGCTGTATTTCTCATGGCAGTTCACAGGACCCCACAGTGTGTATGTCCACATGTGTGACCAAGTATAGCACAAAACGTTAATGTGGTCCTTGGGGAATGTTACTCAAGAGGAAGATGGATTTATAGCAGGGACATAGCAAAAGAATGTGTGTGAGAACATATGCCAAAAGCAAAGCAGTTGGCTTTTCTCACAGATGGTAGGCTTAAGAGGAAAAGGTGTAGCTGAATCCTGTATTCAGTAGAACATTTGGTTCTCAGGTTCCTAGGATGAAAACTTTTTTTTTTTTTCCTGAAAATCCATGTTGTACAAACACAGAGGAATAACTTGAGCTGTGCAACAAGTCAGTTATCGCTTCTTCCCTTCAAAATTTATAAAGGTTCAAAAACTTTTGTGAATTTTTTGCCTTAAATGTTACGGCACTATTTCACTGGGAGCCCTGGCACACATTAGTTTTTGGTTTTTTTGAAAGCTTTGCATCCTTCATTTAATGTATACAGGAGATCCTTGTTTCTCTTCAAAAAGTGTCCAGCCCTTATCTTGAAAGACAAAAAGGATAACAAGTACTTGTGGTGCTGTCTGTCCTGCTTCCACCTTCTTCCCTACCTAACTGGTCACCCAGTATAGAACTTTTCAGCCAAACTTGATAACAGCAACAAGGCTTTCTACAAATTTCACTGTTGGAAACTAGATAGTAAAGAGAAATCTACATTAGCATTCTTATCAACTGAGTTTACAGTGGAGCCCTTCCCTTACTTCTGTTTGTGCACTGTCCCGCCACCAGAATGTGCAGGCTTTTGCCCAGATAGCAATAAATGGATAGTAGGGGTCTGCAAAGGAGCACAAGTGATACAGCCTGGGCAAAGTACTGGAACAGAAATCTACAGAAACAGGGCTATTCATGCAACTTAGTTCTGTTTATTTAAAAAAAAAGTTAACAGTGCCACTACTTGCTGGTTCAGAAGCGGTAACCTCAGATTAAAGCAGAGCATTATGAGAAGAAGGCAATGAAAAGCTAGAATGACGGGGGATGAACATGCTCCCAAGTATTGTTCTTGACTGTTAAAGTAAGGGCTTATTAACTAGGTGATGCATTGCCTGAACAGTCAGTTCTGCTGATGCAGATAACCTCCAAATGCAATGCTGGTGGGTGCATTTATCCAGACTCTGGTGGGGGGTGCGCAGCGGGCTTTATTGTACTTTTATTTTAAAGCTAAGACCAGAACTGAAGATTTAATTCCCCAAGTGCAGCTCTAGTACCACCTGGTGGCCAACTGGCAGAACTTCTCACTGGTTCCATCACCAGTAACCTTCATCTCACGTCTTCCTGTACACTCCTGCCTGCACAGGCAGCACGAGAAAGAGCAGGTATGTGCCTGGGAGAGAGATAAGTATCCTCTTCTCTCAACACAGTGCTGTGTAAGCATAGCTCTTACATGCAAGCAATTAACCCCAGACATGACTTAGATTAAACCTTGCCTTTATGTAGTCTTCAGCGGAAGGTTGTGGAGAGTGGAGAAAGAAAAGGATGTATTAATTCAAGGTAAAACCCTACCGAACACTTCTATTTTCAAGCAAGTTTAGACCAGGTTAACACCAGCAGTCAGATTAAAGAGAAACAAACTTTGTCAAAACACTGCAGGCAGATTTACGCATCTACATCTAAAGCAGTGATTTTTAAACAATTTTTTTAAGCCCTGTTCAATAGCCACTGTCCTGGAAGCATCAGCATCCCATGGGTACAACCCTACAGTTTCAGAGGGAAACTGCTTTAAATCCTGGGCAATTCAGTGAGTTTCTTCAATAAAAATAAACCAGACAATGTGATCCCAAATGAAAAGTCAAGGCAAACTGAGGTATGTTATCAGCAAGACTTTGAAACACCCAACAAAACTAGGCCATTCATAAAAATAGTTGTAACTGGCTCATTTTTTTTTTAATGCATTTTGAAGCATAGCTCAAGGCACAAAAGGAAATGTCTGTAGCATTTCCCCAGGAAGTAAAAGATTTGGGATCAATGCCTCTTCTGAGACTGAGTATAGCCACTGTCTTGCAAGAATCTGTCTGCTTGGTTGCGGGATGTGCTGTGTATTACTGTTGAAGCCCACAGAAAAGCAGCTAAGATATATAGAGCTAAAGAAAAAGCAGAGTGGCAGCCTGGCATCAGTCTTATTCCAAAGAGAAAAGGTACCAAAACCTCATCTCCATCCCTGTCCCCGGACGGCTGCTCCTCATAAAATACTCCAAACAATGGCTAAGCCAAAACATCCTCTCCCAAAACAAGAGTCTCTTAATAATGATTCGTTTTGTTGTCCTTTCAATGCAATTAGATGAAATCACCTTCCGTGATGAAGGTTTGAAAGACTTGACTCTTTAAAGGCACTCACAGAACATGAACAGAAAAAGTGCTAACAAGCAAACTGATATAAGAGGACTTAATTGTGAGTACCATCATGGGAAAAAAATAGCAATAAGTGGGGAATTATAGAGAGCGCCTAAAAGTCAAGGACTTCATTGACAACCAAAGTGAGCTATTTAACAGGAGCACAAGAACACATTTTATCGGGTAAGTTCTCCCAGAGTTACCTGAGAAGTTGCCTTGCTCAAGGAAGAGTTTTTTTAATTTCTGTTTTTAAGAAATGATCTGATATACATAATTTATCCATTATTATTTATTAATATATATTAACAAATAACTTTGTTATTATTCATAATGTGTCAAATGGGCACAGGTACCTTTGGGAATGAAACACGGAAGTTTACAGAGAGTCACAAGGAAAACTTTGTTCAGAAACAAATACTGAATCCTTGGCTGTCTGTGTGGGCTAACACAAATCATAGTCCTCTCTGGTGTGCAAGGTTTTATCCAAAAGACACTTTACAGTAACACATACTAGCCGATGGAATGATGTCAGCAATATGTCCCAAAGCACCTAGCTATTCCCTGCTCCCCACAGCTGAGCACAACAGAGGAACGGCACAGAGAGAGTTGTAAGAGACTTACGTAAAACCTTGTGATTCAAACTCTCGTGACTGACTCCATAATCAGCAAAACCTGCCATGCCAAACACGGTCAATAAATGTTTTCCTCTGGCTACACGCAAGCATCCATTCACTGTGCCTAACGCTGAGAAGCCTACTGTGATTTAGAGGCCTCTTTGCATAGTAAGACATAATAGCTGGTAGAGACATCTCACCACTCGAATGATAATACTGAATTTTGAATACTCAACTAGTATTTCAAAGAAATAATTTTATTTCTTCTTGTTATTTTCTGTACATCTGTGTCTATGTTTGAGGTGGATCAGAGATGAGAACCATGCATCAAAAAGAAACATACTAAGAGCAAAAAGCTTCATGTATCACAAATAACTTCCAAAATCCACTGGGATCTCCTGACCCTAGACACTAATGAAGCCTCATGCTTTGATGTTAGCTCAGCTTCAACTGTTTTTGAAAAATCCTGTCCTGCATGCTTTTAATTCCTGAACTATCCATCACAGGATATTCCATACTTTGAAGCATCTTATACTGGCTACTCTCAGAAGACTAAGAGATCGCTGATGTGGTCCGAAGTGAGAATTCCCATCGTTCCCATTTGCAGTGATGATCAAGACCCTCTCTAACCTGTATGTACGATGAATAACTGAACTAATAGCAGAAAGAAAGACTGGTGATAAGGTGCATAGTTCTTAACCACTACAATTACAGTTAATGAAATATCAATGAATGGAAGCAGATAGTAAAAATACAATGATATACTTTGAATTAACAGTGGCCTTCCCAGTAAAATGGGACTATATTACAGCATTCTACTGGGAGAGTTTTTCCATCCATCTTCTATTTAAAGAAGTCTCCACAGATGCCTGTCATGGGCTCTGGACAACCCTCCCACAATTAATAATCTTACTATTTTGTCTTTGCTGAGCTTTAGGAAGA